GTCAAACTACAGACACCAAAGGATCCCAAGTTCTATTGCAAAGTGAATTAAAATTTCTCACTGTAAAACGCACTAGCGAAGAAGTCCGGTGCAGTCGTGGTCACCAAGGATCTCACTCAGCGTACACTTTGCTTTAATAACACGCTATAAATATCGGAAAAACTAGAGTGAGACAATCTGGAGAGCACGATGGTGTACTTAAAACTCGCGGAATAAACAAACTAGAGCAGAAACTTCTAAATTCAATTGCTGCAGGACTTCTAACACTCTACGAACGTACGCCAGTCCACACACAGAGAAGACCGCTAGACAGGAATTCAGCATTGACGATTTGAACCTTTTTGCTTATATTCACCAGTGTCGACAATATTCCTAGGACTGTTCACAAACCCAGTAAAAATAAATAAGAGAACATGAAAACTGAGCACTAAACCCTATATTACTAATGGCTGTCGAATTGGTTTCCAAGGGATAAGTTCATTCTGGGAACACAATATAGTGATGCTGAGTTATCACACAGATAATACACACAACCATTTTCAGGGATTCTTAATAAAACGTTTGTATTCCCACACAGAAGAATAGGTTTGACTCTCGAGCGTTTATTGTTTCTAAGTCGGGGTGTTGCATAGATCCCACTTGTAGGTAGGAACTTTAAGCGAGCTATAAACCTCACTACCGGTCGACGTTATGTTCAAGTCTGTTTTGCATGATCCCATTGTGGTGGACTTTAACGGCTACTCCAAGCTTCTTCTGTCATACTTGTCTGAGGCTGCCAAGATCGCCCAGGAGCACACCAGCAATGAGCAGGGGCATCAGGCTCGTCAATACAATAAGAAAATCAAAGGTGTGTCTCTGAACGTTGGGGATCGCGTCCTGCTTGCCAATAAAGGCGAGCGGGGCAAGAAGAAACTTGCAGACAAGTGGGAGCCTCAGGTTTACACTGTTGTGGAGAGGCATCCCAGGACCCACATTTACAGGATCAGTGACTCTTCAGGCCAGAGTAAGGTTGTACACAGAAACCTTCTGTTGGACGTGAGTTTCCTTCCTGTCCAGGATTCGTTGGGAAGTCAGTCCCTAGACGTTTTCTCCAGTGAGGGGGATCTCAGTGCTGGTGGGGATCTGGAGGACCCTGGCAGTCTAGAGACAGAGTCTACCGCAGCAAGGACTTCCTTGTGGGTCCTTTCGGATTTGAGCCATGGAGTGGATGTGGATTCTGTGGCAGGAGAGCATGCCTCACAGTCCACGGATCGTCAGCATGGTTCATGTGATGGTGCGGATGTGGACAATGCCCTACCTGACTCTCAGACTTGCACAACGCACATTTCAGCAAGCCCTTCTGGTCAGGCCCAGCACTTTGCTCTTCCTACTCCGGTTGACTGTTCCGCTACCTCTGATTTGACACAGTCTGGCACAGATTCTGTTCCAGGTGCCTGTCATGGGGACGCTGTTGTTCCGCATCCTGACCAAACTGGTTTCATAAAAGGTAGGCACTCATCAACAAATACACGTAGATTACTTAATTTGATAGACTACTCATACAGTAAAAACCTAGAAACTACAATATTCTCTTTAGACGCAGAAAAAGCATTTGACAGAGTTAACTGGAAATTTCTATTTGCAACTTTACACAAATTTGGTTTTTTACGGAGCCCCCCAGGGGACATGGGAGAAAAAAAAATTGGGGAGGAAAAAAAAAAAATTAGGGAGGAAAAAAAAAATTAAGACGGACTTTTGCGAGATCTCGCAAAAGTATTGCGAGCGCTCGCAAAAGTATTGCGAGATCTCGCAAAAGTATTGCGAGATCTCGCAATAAGTATTGCGAGCGCTCGCAAAAGTATTGCGAGATCTCGCAAAACTCCAACAATGGCGGCGCTACTAGTTTAATATTACTCTTTCTGGGTCACAAAATAACTTTTAAGATATTTTAGGCGGAATGTAGTTGTGTAAACTTCAATACCTGCTCGGTTTATCAAGACATCCATATTTGCAAAAGAGCTTCCGAGGTTTTTCGGAGAGTCTGACTACCCACCAGCTCGAAGCTAACGGGAGGTCGAGACCTACTACAGCCGGGAGGAACACCGCTTTCCCGGCACATCGTGCCTCGACCTCCCGGTCGGCTTCGAGCTGGCGGCCTCCGAAGAATGCGGCTAAAACTTTTGCGAGATCTCGCAATACTTTTGCGAGCGCTCGCAATACTTATTGCGAGATCTCGCAATACTTTTGCGAGCGCTCGCAATACTTTTGCGAGATCTCGCAAAAGTCCGTCTTTTTTTTTTTTTCCTCCCTAATTTTTTTTTTTTTCCTCCCTAATTTTTTTTTTTTTCCTCCCTAATTTTTTTTTCTCCCATGTCCCCTGGGGGGCTCCGTATTTTGGATCCTCTTTCATAAACTGGTTAAAAATATTATATAATTCCCCAACAGCTTGTGTTAGAACAAATGACCAGACATCCTCCAGCTTCTGTCTCTTGAGGGGCACCAGGCAGGGATGCCCACTCTCCCCTTCACTGTTTGCAATTTTTATTGAACCACTAGCAGCAGCAATTAGACAGAATTCAGTAATTAAGGGCATAAAATGCAAGAACGTGGAACATAAAATCAGCCTTTATGCGGATGATGTGTTACTCTTTCTCCAAAATTCACAAACCAATATCTCTGGGGTGATTGAATTGATAAACTCTTTTGCAAGAATATCAGATTACTCAATTAACTGGTCAAAATCTACAGTCCTACCGATTAATTGCTCCTTCCATAATTCCTCTTCTACACCACTGCAATCGGGAAATATAAAATATTTAGGTATTAATGTTTCTCCCAAGCTTGCAGATCTAACTAAATTAAACCATATCCCACTTTTAAAGAAGGTAGAAGATGATCTGGCTAGATGGAAATGTCTACCCATATCACTCATGGGAAGGGTTGCCGCTATAAAAATGATGGTCTTACCAAAAATAAATTATTTATTCTCAATGATCCCAACTAAACCGCCACAAGATTGGTTCAGATCTCTAGATTCATGTATGTCCAAATTCCTTTGGAAAAATAAACCCCCACGTATAAGCTTAAAAACACTACAAAAGACCAAGGATAAAGGAGGACTAGAACTGCCTAACTTTCAGCACTACTTCTTAGCCAACAGGCTTCAGTTTATCTCAGGATGGCTAAAACATACCCTCTTAGATGAACCTTGGCTAGATGTAGAACAAGCACTCTGCAATAATCTAGAGATCTCAGACCTACCATTTATCAGCTCAAACATCCAACGACATGAATGCTTTAAAAGCATCAACATCAGCTCTTCTCTGACAGCATGGTGGGAGTTTCTAAAATTGACGGCGTCTTCATTAATCCCATGCAAACGTACACCTATCTGGAACAACCCTGACATATTACAAAACAATAATATGATAAACTTTTCAGATTGGAGTGGTAAAGGAATCAAATATTTAGAACATATACTAGAAGGAACAGAATTTATTTCATTTGACAGACTAGTTACACAATATGGGATCAACAAGAAAAGATTTTTAGAATATCAACAAATTAAATCCATAGTAAAAAAGAAATTTAAACCGGGTCAAGTTGAACTACAAACACCACCAAGTGTGGTTCAATTTCTTACTCTTAACCCCCAAATTACTATCCAAAATATACAGAATGCTTTCTAAAACAGATGAATCAATATCACTTCCTATTGCAAAATGGGAAGCGGATTTATCAGTTAACTTAGACCTAAACTTCTGGTCTCAGATTTGCTTAAAAACCTTTCATCTAATTAGAAATCCCAGTCTTCAATTAATTCAATACAAAATATTACATAGAGTGCACTATACAGGTCATCGGATGTTCAAGATGGGCTTTACGTCTACCAACAACTGCTCACACTGCCAAACCAATTCACCGGACAATTATATCCACGCTCTTTGGTTCTGTCCACCAGTTCAGAAGTTTTGGCGCGAGATATGTGAAGACTTATCGAAGTGTCTGAAATGTAACATTCCAACTTCCCCCTTAGTGTGTTTGTTGGGCAGCTTAGATAATGTCACTTCAGAAAAGAATATCGCCCATATGGTTTTCACTGCCCTATGCATAGCCAAGAAAACAGTCCTCAGGTTTGCCTTTGTTTTTAAACTCCATTTTACTAGGATACCTGCCAAGTATTGTGAAGTAAAACATGAGAATGAAGAAAAGAAGGGGTTTTCCAAGCAAAGTCACTAACAGACACCTCAGTGAAAAAAAGTTATGCCTTGTGTGCAAAAAAGAAGAAAAGGCTAAGTTTGCAGATTTAACACAAATTCTAACATCAATGTATGAACATACTCACTGTAATAAAGCTAAAGTGCTGATGTTTCGCATATGCAGAGTATTTACTACTTTGCCACCTCCATCAAACCACACTTCAGTCTTTTAAACCTGCTCTTTCACTCTTGTTGCTATCCTTAATGTCACAGATCACACACCAACACTCATCTCCACCCACTCCAACCTTGCTGCACTCTCTCCTTCACCTCTGTTCTTAATGGTCATAATTCAGTTCAGCACAATGTTATTTAAATAGCACCAAGTAACAGCACCTAGGTTTTTTGGATTTACTTAAAAAAAGATGTTAAGTAGATCCACCCAACTGTGTTAGCTCCTAAATCACTGATAAAGTTATCAACCTGACCATCAACCAGACCAACGCAAGTCACACACAGCCTTTGTGACCGAAGCCATTGGCCTCTTGCCATCTGCGCCCCAACAATAAGACCTCTATCAAGAGTTTTCCTCTTACCCTCTTGACACAAAATTAGACACAACTGTCTGCTCAGAGCATGACTGGATGTTAAGTGCTAAATTGTAAAATGCAGTTTACCAGTGTGGAAGGATCTGCATTT